TGCGATATGTTTTTTTCGGCAACCGGGAAATCTTACGCTAAGGGTTATAGGAAAGAGAATGATATTAAAGAGGGATTATCACCAGAGAGGATTAAAGTAAAGCCAAAAGAAAGCTATAAACTTGGTCCAGAGAAGCAGGCTTCAACAGTGTCAAATAGAGGCAAAATAAACTCTCCTCAGAAAAATTTCGCATGTTACAAATGCGGGTCAAGAGAACATTTTAAGCGTGATTGCCCTCAAAATAAAAATACGAAGGACAAATTTGCGAAAGTGAACAGAGCAAGTGCAGTAGATAGTGGAGAGGTTATCGAAACTCAAGAGAACAGAGTTATTGTTGCCAAAGCGGGACATTTTGGAAAGGAAATTTCTAGACAATCAATCGAAGAGGAGTTATGCAAATTGGATAGAGTGCAGGTTAGTGTAAACGGTCGGATAATGTAACGGATTAATCGATTCTGGCAGTGAGATAACGGTTGTAAAGGAAAAGTATAATTCCAAATTTTAGATCTGGAAGCGGATCGGCAATTTATTTGAAGGGGATTTTTGGACCGCCGAGAAGGTGTGAGTTAGTAAAATTACCTTTAGCACTAATTAATGGAAAGGGTACAAATGTGCATCAGGAGGAGATACTTTGCGCGGTGGCAAAATCTTTAGTTGAAGATGTTTTATTACCCCCACAGGTGTTATATATGTTACGGGGCGAAAACACTTGTAAAGATCGACAGTTCAACGGAGAACGGAAGTAGCAGTGGTTTGGTTCTACGAATCGAAGGATTCCTCGAACGTGGGAGAGGCAGAGAGAAAGGCAGAAACACCTCAGGGTAAGTTAGAAACGGACATTCAAAGCCACGTAGCTGCTATCCCAGATGTCGGAGCGCCCTTAGTGGAGAAAACAACTAATTTATCTCAGACAGCGGAGTTTCGTCAGCAACAAAAGAATGCACTGACTTATCTAAGATGTGGGAAAGAGCGAAAACGGATAAAGGAAATTATTTTGTGAGGGACGGTTTTCTTTTTCATCGGGACAAGATTTTGGGACAAGAGTGCAGAGCAATTAGTTGTTCCTAAATGCAGAAGGAATGAAATTCTAGAGCTCGCGCATGCATCAGTGTTTGGAGGACACATGGGAATTAAAAAAACATTAGAGAGGATTCGTTATTCCTTTTATTGGGAAAACGTGAAAAGAGATGTCCAGGAATTTTGCGAATCATGTGAAAGTTGTCAATTAACAAAGCCAGTGAAAGTGAAGGACAGAGCGCCAATTACTCCAGTAGCAAGACCAGGGTTACCTTTTCAGGTTGTCAATGTAGATTTAATCGGACCTATAGATCCTCCTAGTTCGAAGGGGCATAAATATATTTTGTGCTTGGTGGACCAGCATACTAGATGGGCCGAGGCAGTGCCATTAACCAGTCTGACGGCAAAAACTACCTGCGACGCGTTGCTGCAGATTTTCTCCAGGACCGGAATTCCTAATGTGATGATAGCGTCAGATAATGGTACCAATTTTAACGCAGACTTAACACGGGAATTTGAGAAAAGATTAGGATCCAGTCCGAGATTTTCGACACCCATGTACCCTCAGTCAAATGGTTTAGTCGAAAGGTTTAATCAGACTTTGAAACGTATGTTGCATCATATTATTAGAGAGGAAGGTCGAGCTTGGCATGTCCAAATACCTTACGCATTGTGGGCATACAGGGAAATACCTAACAGTACTACAGGGGTATCACCTTTCCAACTATTGTATGGTAGACCCCCACAAGGACCGTTATCTATTTTAAAATCTACATGGTTAGGGGAGCATGACGAATTAAAATTCGATCTGAAGCCAATTCATAAATATTTGCAAGATTTGAAGGAGCGGTTGAAACGTGCTGCTGAGCAAGCTGATCTTACGAGTGAAATCCAACAAGGTAGGATGGCGCAGTATTATAATTTGCGCTCTTCGAGTAAAACTTTTGAAATAGGAGATAGGGTTGTAGTCCTCATACCTGATTCAAGCAACAGGTTATATGCTCGTTGGCAGGGTCCTGCAGTGATAAAGGAAAGAAAAAACCCACACTCTTTTTTAGTAGAATTGGCTGACGGGAGCATTAAGCATGTACATCAAAATAAAATAAGGAAATTCATTGTGCGGTCAAATGCAATCAATGTAATGTTTGACGGGGAAGAGTTCGGGGAGGTAGACAATATTCCCTCTACTTTAGACCAGGATAGTAGTTTTGAAAGCAGGTTAAATAATCTAAGTACCACTAATCTTAACAACAAGCAGATTAATGATCTAAAACTACTGTTGGGAAAGTACAAGAACTTATTTTTGAGACATGTTCAACCTGCTAGAGTAGGACAACATAAGATTGATCTTATGCCTGGAGCAGACAGAAAAAAAACCTCATTGTTATGGCATTCCAATGGCATATCGCAAAGAGGTGGACAAACAAGTCAAGGAACTTCTAGAGCTGGGTCTCATTGAACCGTCGGAAGCGGACATAGCCCACCCGGTTGTGTGTGTGGTCAAGAAAGACGCGACAATCAGGATGTGCGTTGATTTCAGGGCATTGAATTCGATCACTAAAGTGCCGGCATTTCCTATGAAGGATATGCATGAATTAATATATGTGGCTGGGCATTCAAAATGGCTATCAAGTTTAGATATGCGCAGAGGATACTGGCAAATCGGAATGGAGGAATCAAGTAAACCACTGACAGCGTTTTCAACTCACAACGGGACGTTTCAGTGGAACGTCATGCCGTTTGGTTTGGCAGGAGCGTCAGGTACCTTTCAAAGAGAAATGAATAAGGTTCTTTTCCAGTACAGCGATTTCGCCCAAGCATATATAGACGATATTATAATTTTTTCAAACACGTTTGAAGAACACCTGAAGCATCTAGAAACGATCCTTAAGATACTGGAACAGTTAAAATTTTCTGTCAGGCTCAGTAAGTGTGATTTTGCAGCTAAGGAAATAGATTACCTAGGACATAAGATAGGAAACGGCAAACACGGCCCAGATCCTAGTAAGATTGCAGCAATTAAAGTGCTAGAAAGGCCCACGAATAAAAAGGGAGTCCGTTCGGTATTGGGTCTCATGGGATTTTATCGCACATATATCCCGAACTATGCCGAGATAGCTGGACCTTTGACGGATTTGACGAAAAAGAATGCGCCGAATAATGTACGGTGGGGTCAAGTTGAAGACGCGGCTTTCCAGAAGTTGAAAGATATGCTGTGTCAGGTGACGTCTCTGGACCACGCCTGACTTTAATTTTCCATTTCAGGTGCATTCTGATGCATCAGATGTGGCCGTCGGTTGTTGTCTAACTCAGAGAGATGCACAAGGGCATTTTAAACCAATAGCTTTTGCATCCCAAAAATTTTCTGGGGCTCAAAAGAATTGGGCAGCCATAGAAAAGGAGGCCTGGGCAGTGTTATTCGGGCTCAAGAAATTTGATAAGTGGATTTTCGGGGGGACGGTGGAAATCATTACGGACCATAATCCTTTGAAATATCTCACTGAAATTACACCTAGGAGTCCAAAATTAACACGTTGGGCTCTCTCTTTGCAAAGATGGAATTTAAAAATCACTTATCGTCCAGGAGTACAACATCGAGCCGCAGATGCATTGTCACGATTGGTGTGAAAAATAGTAATATTTTTTTTTTTTTAAAGAAAGGAACCACAGATATTCAGAAGTTCGTAATTCTTGCCTTAAAATACTTTTCGAGATAATTTGTTTAAATGATGTTGGTAAACAAAAAATGTTTGTCTAATGTAGAATGTATTTATGCAGTTAGGTTTAGTGTAATATTTGTATTTGTTAAACGAAAAAACATGGTAAGAAGACTTTTGTATCCTGATCAGATTTTGGTTTCTAAGTACCCCCTGCACTTGGTCGGGTAGGAGGCTGAAAAATTTCAGTATCCATGTCAGCCATCAGGAACTTTGACATTTTGTATGAAATCAAGTGTGTCAACTAATAAACCTCTGAATTCTGATTCTGACGAATTCGGAATTGCTTAGGATGAACGCTGGGTTTTGTATCTAATGAACTCTACATTATTTCTAATGAACTCTACATTATTTCTAATGAACGCTGAACGGTTCGGTTGAACCTGTTGTGAAAATTAGCCTTTAAGAGGCAAATCTTCATCTTGGTGGGGGCGTGTAATGCCCATAACCCGAGAAGGAGAAGGAAAAGCCTAGCGAGCGGAATAATTAGTCCGACGGAGCAGGTGGCTCGTTGGACGGAAGTAGAAAGGACGAACAAGAAGACGAGGGGGGCGAAGAGGACTTTGCACCCTGGTTGTCGGACGGGACGGTCCGGAGTTTTTTTTTGGGCGGAATGAGAATCGCCATTTTCTTTCGTCATGGAGAGAGATTGTTTTTCTCATCCGGCGGAGACCATGCCGGACTTACCTATTCATGCTTGTACATATAATGTATAATAATCAAGAATTGTTTACTTATTAAAGTTTATTGTTAAACAAACAAAAAATGGGTGTCATCTATGCGTCGATCGACGGTGACATGTGTGAAGCAACTGAACCCTACGCTACGGTTTAACACAACGATGCTTATCTGTCTCGGCACGACTACCACAACCAACTACAGCTGTGAAACCTGCCTAGCAGTCAGGGGAGATCATAATTATGTTTCTTGAAACATTGCGCTCCATGGGCTTCTTTTTATCCTCTGATTTCTCTTTAGTAAGTGTGCTTACATTACTCATGTCCTTACGTATTGGGGATCTTACGGTATTAAATGTGTTGATTTGGAAAGCTTTTGTACAAAGTTATATTGAAAAAAACCGTCTCGTTCTTAATTTTTGCACACCAGTGTATAGACACAACATATTTTGATCTTAAATAAGATATAAATTACAGTTACAAAATTTTGCTCCTGATTAAACTAAGTTTTCTTGCTTTATGTTGTTAGTATCCACGAATGAAATTTTTCTGTGCTCCTCAACTCTTACACATTTTTTTCCATTTGCAGTTCCACTTCTTCCATCCAAACCTGAGGTGGTAAATGTCACCGACTCTACTTTAATTATAAAATGGTCCGAACCTCTGCCATTCAGGGGCCGTGTTCTTGATTATACTGTTGAAACGATCAACAAGAATACATCAGAAGAAAAGCAATACACCACGGAAAATATGAATTTAGTAATTCAGGAGTTGAATGCTTATACAGATTACTCAATCCGCGTTCGTGGACGAACTGCAGCCGGTAATGGAAGATGGTCCGAAGAGCTTTTAATTCGCACCAAAAGTGGAAGTATGTGGGCTTTATCAATAAAATGTTTGAAATGTTTTGGTTTTAAAAAAAAAAAATTTTTAATTTATTATTGCATTTCTATGATTATTTGAAATTTATTAATTATGAATTTCAATTTCTGATCTTTGTGAAATATTAGTTCTAAATTTCTTACTTTATGCCTTTAATGATAATTTTTCTGCAGCTTAATGGGCGAAAATACTAGGCATGTTTGTGTTTTTTTTTCAAAGCAATTGGTTTGTGTTTATATATATATATACACACACATAAAGTGCATATATATATAGTTACATGGATATATACACATTACATATATATGTGTATGTAAATACATATGTTACATATGTTTTTGTTGTTGCTTATGCCCACTTGTCTGACGTAGTCAGCCCGAGCCCACTAAATTCCTCGTGGCAAGAAGCGCTAGGATACGCCTGCCGTTGGCAACAGCCTTAAGCACCATTCAGGTGACAGTGCGATTTAGCTCAGTCTCCACCCCAGTTTTGATGGAGAGCACCCCAGGGGGACAGATCCGTGTGTCTGAAAGCCCTCTTTCCTTCCACCAAACCCCACGACAGGACTTTCGGCTCGTCGCATATTTAGAAAGCCGCCATGCCGCACGACATTATACATTTACAAACATCCATGCCTTCTCCGGGATTCGAACCTGGGTCCATCGGCACTGCAATCAGCGCCGCTAACCACTAGTTAGGAGGAAAATATTAACATATAGTATATATATATATATATATATATATATAAGTAAAAATTCTTGCTAATTTTGTACATTTGATACTGCAGTCCCAGAGTATACAAGTAACATCAAGTAGAAACAATAATACAATAGTAAAGTAGTTAAAGTTTACGCGAAAAACCCTCCTATAATAACTACTAAACAAAATAATCTACAAAAACAAAATTGAAAATTAGAAAAGACTAAAAAAAATTTTTAACAACCTAAAAAACATCAATTATGTTTGCAAACAATCAAAAATATTTTAAAGACAAAGAAATTATATACAAAGAATTGCAAAAGTGATCAGTTAGCCCAATTCGAGGTTTCACAGACTTATCAAGGAAAAAGCATGAGAAAACTCCAATCTAGCTAATATCATAAGCACGTTTCGTCAATATATATAATATATATGTAGTGGGGGAGTTGAAGATGTTAAATAACAATTCCAACGTGTTTTTCACACCACAGAACATTTGATAAAGAAAATCAGAAGAAGGTACAGATTGAATAAAATACAAGTGCCTTTCTATACAAATAGGATTCTGTATAGTTTTTGCCAGTCTTATCACATAACCGATTAGTGCCTACTCGCACTTGCTGATGTATACTTGCGCTTGTATTATACAATCAGTTTACTACCTACGCGTGGAAAACTACAGTTCCTTATTCTACACTTTCACGTGTAGACATCTCACCACCTTCGCGTGGGATAGCAAAAGAAGGTCTCTGTCATACTCCTCTTTCACCTCGCTCTCGCTGCTGGCGTATCGGTGAGGCCCTCTGGTGATTGTGTCGTCCTTACAGATACTACAGCTCGTCCGTCCTGACACTTTTCGTCCTCGAAAACACGGATCAGCGACACTGGAACATTAAGACAGCACCTGAAAATAAATTTAAAAAAAAAAAAAAGAAAGAAAAGGAAAAAAAAAAGAAAGATGTGTGGAAGAACCACACATAATCCTATACTGTAGCAGTCCACGGCTTCATGAGATCAGCTGCTGTAGTGGTAAATCCAGGACCTTCATGCTGTCCCACTTTTTTCACCTGGTAGCGATCTTTGCCTTTCCTCGCTGTTATACGGTATGGACCGAAGAACTTTGGCCTTAACTTCAGACCACCTCCATACTGCGTTCTTTGTATGGCAACTAGGTCGTTCACATTATATACCTGTGCCTCTTTTCTATTCTTGTTGTATGTTTTTCTATTCTCTTCCTGAATTTTTAGAATGTTTTTCCTTGCTTCCTCTCTCATATCTTCTCAATCTTTCATCATAATATTTTTTTCTTCTTCTCCGAGAATTTCCATAATCTTTAAGTCCTCTCGATTTTTCATTTTAACACCAGTGGGGAGTTCAAATGGAGAACTCTTTGTGCTTCTGCTCTTAGTACTGTTCAAGATCCTTTGTACATCTCCAACATATTTGTACCACTTGGTTGGATCATCTATGAATAATTTGGATAGGACCGGAATCAGAGTGAGATGAATCCTTTCCACTTGTCCATTTCGTCTAGGAACTCCTGTAGTTGTAAATATGTGCTGGATTTTCTCTTGACTACAGTAATCTTCAAAGTCTTTAGAGGTAAAGGCCGTACCTTTATCACTTATAATTCTCAGAGGATTACCGAAAGTTGATTGTTGCAGTTTCAGCTTCTGCAATGCCTCTTGAGTTGATGTAGACTTAACTGGGTAGAGCCACACGAACTTTGGGAATGCGTCAACCACGGTTAAGATGAGATTGTAGTTCTTATTTGTCGAAGGTAATGGTCCTATAAAATCGATATGAAAAGAGCTCAAAGGAATACTCTCTTTTGGTATGCGATTCAGCAACCTTTCGCTCTTACCTCGTTTTCTGTCGCACAAAATGCATTCTATACAATTTGAAATAACTTGTTCAATTCGTTTTCTAAGGTTAGGAATACAAAAGTCGGTTTTTAGCAGATCTTCTGTTTTAGAACACTGCGAAGTGTCCCTTGTTGTGGATACTACATATGATTTCTAGCTCTAATGCTTCGAGTACCACAAGTAGCTCGCGACCACTGTCGAACTTGTATAATACTCCATTTTTCACTAGGAAATCTTTCTTTTGTCCTTGCTCGACTAAGGATTTTAGCAACTGGAGACGCTCATCACTTCTTTGCGCAGCTGCAATTTTGGCTGTAACTTCTCCCTGAGAACAAGTTATCAGGTTCAATGTTCCGTCTTACTTTCTTTGGGAACATGCACAGACCTGACTCGGACAGGGAGCTTACATACTTCCCGCCAGAGTTAATTAGTTTGAAACTGAGGTCTAAAACGACCTTGTTGAAAACTTTTAGCCCTAGAATCTAACGCGAGGCCAATCTTTTACAAACATTTCTCACTAGAAACTAGAAATTTAAAAAAAAAATTGTTTTTACAATAGCAGCTCCATGGACACCCAATTTTTCATCTGTACTGCATCTAAACAGGAGCTTTTATTCAAATCTGGTTCCTTCCAGAGATCTGGAAGGAAAACTAGTTTAATGAAATGTTACACAATGAAATGGCAAGTAACATGCATATTTATATTTTTCTTAACATTCTTATTTCATTCATGACTATTTTAATTATCTCTCCCCGTGCTCTCTGACATGTGTTGTAAAAGAACACCAAACACGAATGTGTTTATGTATACGTGTTCAACACTGCCTCCTACAATCAAAACACTAACGTGTTAAAATTCAACATAACCAGACCTCGTAACACACCCTATCTTCTACTCTAAACCCTGAGGTACTATTCTGAAAGTGGCTAACTCTGAAGTGTAGCGTCAGAGAGCCTAACTACATTCATTCAACCTTTAACACATATTCACCATAATTTGGTCTTTTTTCAGTCACACGAAAAAAATTTTTTTTTTTCATTACTTTCACTTTTACCATATCAGTATTTCTTAACATTTAAAATAACAGTTCACATTGTATATAAGAACATATTAACATGCCGTTAATTTTACGCATTTTAAAACATACATTAGTAGTACATTGTTAACTTCTATTCTTTTCAAAGCAAGTGCCAATTCTTCTACATTGAAATACTACATTTCAAAAAGTCTTTCAGACTAAAACTTCTTTCTTGCCAGAATGTTTTAAATAAAAATTTATACAATAACTTTTACAATATTTAAGTATTTACACATTCCTATTATACATCAACTTTAGTTTTACGCGCGAGCGCGAGTAATTGAAAAAACATAATACCAAAATCGGTAACAAAACTCATTTCTCGCCTTTTTGGCGATAAAGGTAGACCTCACATGAGGTAAAACTTCTTGAAATCTGCCACTTGCAGTAAGAATGAAAGATTAACTTAAGTTTGCAAAGTAACATAAAATTTTACTTATCTTTGTGATATTCGGACATTATTTTCTGAGCCCAGTCCTGGAAGGTAGCGCAGATTCTGGTTTGATTTATCCTCCTTCTTGTGCGGGCTCTCCCTTCAGTGCCTTCCTCTAGAAGCTTTCTTTTTCCTCGAGTCCGGTCACCCTTGAATACCTTCTTTTTCGCCTCTGCCTGTGGTCTTGGCCGTTTGATGGCAGCTGGTCTTGGCGGAACCGGGACACTTCTTTCGCGTTCCTGCTTGGACCTCGTTGCTGGCCGTTCAAATTTTCCTTGTAACTTTTCCTCCGCCGCTGGTGGCCCTTCCGCAGTTCGGCGACATTTGCTGCGGAGAGTCCTGTGCGATGAGTTGATCTTCCGTTTGGAAGCCGGGTTATAGTTGCCGTTATTTCTCCTGGTTTTCTTTACATTCGTCGTACTTCTCCCTTCTTCATTCTGGGGGTGTTCGTGAGCTCTCTTTTCTGGACGGTGGAACGGCTTCTTTTTCTTGTTACCTTCAATTTTCCAACGGGGAAACTTTCTTTTCAATTGCTCCTGCCTCCTAATGGCTTGTCCTTATGCTTGACGTTGTTCCACCTCTGGAGCTTGTGCCTGCCGTGTCTGCCGTGCCGGATCCTGCAAAAGATCTTTGAAAATTTGCATTTTATTACTATCATAGTAGGGTTTGATTTGATCAATGTTTGCGGAGCATGTTTCGCCATTCCTGGCTTTTAACACCACTACAGCGTGAGTTATTTTTTCTATGACATATGGTCCTTCAAATCGTGGAAATAATTTGGCAATTTTATCTTCTGGTGCTGAAGAAAGTGAATGCTTAATTTTTAACACTTCATTCCCTACTTTATAAGTTACTCCCCGTCGTTTCGTATCATAATAAAACTTCGTTTTCTCTGTGCTACTTCAGTATTCTT